AGGGCCTGGTGGGCGATGTCTCTCGCCTACAGTTGGCCAACGAGAGACTCACGGAGCGGGTGAACGAGCTGAGCGCTCAGTTCGCCCGCTTCCAGGGAACCTCCCCGAGCGGGAAGCCCCGTCCGCGTCCCAGCCTGCCCCTACCACCAACTCAGGGGCATTTGACTCCCAACTGCGTGAAATCCTCATCGCAGTTGGGAATATGCTGGACGGACGCCTGGCTGGCCTGGAGGCGAGACTGCTCCCTGCGCCGGTTGTGCGCCCCCCGCTCGCGTCGGCACAGCGGCCTAAGGCTGTCGCTCCCACCGCGCTCCCCGTGGTGGGAGGCCGCGTTTCTTACGCGGCGGCGGCGTCTGCCCGTACTCCATCGGCTCCCCAAAAGCCGAGGAGGGGGGCCAAGGCACCGGCCCAGGCGCCGGCCAAGGCACCGGCCCAGGCGCCGGCCAAGGCACATCCCCAGGCGCCGGCCAAGACGGGGCCTAAAACAGCGCCGAGGAGCGGAGTGGCATTCCCTCCGCTCCCCACTCCGACACCCCTGCCGGGCCCCTCCGCACCTGCCCCCTCCAACGAGGGTTGGCAGGAGGCGAGGGGCTCCAAGAAGTCCCGAAGGCGGGCCAGAAGGGCTGCCCAAAAAGCAGCCCAAGCCCAGCCTTCGCCACCGGTGCCAACGGCCTCTACAAAGAGGCTGCGGAAGCTGCAGCCGCCCAAAACCGCGGCTGTAGTGGTGACCGTGTCCCCGGAGGCGGCTGACGGCGGGCTGTCCTACGCGGACGTCTTTAAAAAGGCCCGGGACAGCCTCGCCAACGATTTTGGGACGGTGGGGGTCAGGATGCGCCTCGCCCAGACGGGAGCTCGAGTCCTCGAGTTCCCTGGGGCTGAAGGCGCTAAGACGGCAGACACATTTGCTGAGAAGCAGCGGGGACTCTTTACAGCTACGGATGATGTAAAGATCGCCAGGCCTACTAAGTGCGCAGAGCTGCGCATCTCGGGCCTGGACGACTCCGTAACGGCCGAAGATGTCCGCGCTGTAATCCGGGAGAAGACGGGGTGCAGCGCGGACAACGTCAGGGTCGGCACCATCCGCCCCGGTCCAGGAGGGCTTGGCGCCGTGTGGGTCAGCTGTCCCGTAGCGTCGGCCAAAGTATTGGCCGACGCCGGCAGGCTGCCCATCGGTTTCGTGAGCGCCAGGATCACAGTCCTGGCGGCGAGACCGATGAGGTGCTACAAATGCCTTGCACGGGCACGGTTGCTTCGGAAAGTACCTGCACTCGGTCGCTAGGAGGGAACTGAGTCCCGCCTGCCACCACTGCGACTGCAGTGCGGACTCGGCCCAGCATACGCTGGCGGTCTGCCCCGCATGGGCGACGCAGCGCCGGGCCCTCACTGCAGTCATCGGAGTGGATCTCTCGCTACCGGCCGTAGTACGCTCCATGCCCGGTAGCGACCAACCTTCTGCGAGGAAGTAATCTCGCAGAAGGAGGCGGCGGAGAAGGCCCGGGAGGACGACCTCCACTCGGACCCGATCCGCCGCCGGCGAACCGGGCGGCGGAGGCGCGCCTATCACCGCCTCATGCCGCCCTGAGTGTGGCCGCGGGTGGACGGGGTGGGTTTCCCCTCCACCCGCATTAGTTTGGCCAAACGCGAGGGGGCGGCGTCCGCGTGTGCCGGACGTCGCCTAAAGAGAGGAAAAAAATTTTGAGACGGAGCCCGCACCAGGAGCGGGCTGGCGCTAGGAGGGGTCCGGATGTCTTAATAACAGCTGTTCCCGGATCCATCCTGTTACAGGCGCAGAGTGGCACACCGTGTGGTTTTAGTCGGTCCGAGTCCGACACACCACCCCGCCGCAAACCCCGGTGCGGTGACGGTCCGAGGGGATTTCCACACGTTAAAAAAAAAAGGGTTTGTGTCAAGTTTTCCTTCTACCGCAGTGATGTTGTTCTGCGTAGTTTTCTCCCTTAGTCGGCTCTTACGACACCCACGGGATGAATAGGGGTGGTGACACTCTGTATTTTTAATCCGTCACCACACGAACCATTCATTATTAACTCACATCTCACTCGACTATTAATGGTTATAAACACTTCTCTAAATAGCCAATAAAAATGTACATAAAAAAATCTTATACTTTTGCGTGATTGCGTTACATACAGACAGACAAAATTTCCAGAAAATTCTAACCACCATACAACATGATAAGGCTATAAGACCAAAGATTTATTATACTATCTAAATAGTTTAAAACGCTAAATGCTGGTCAACAAAGCGTAGTAAGCGTAGTAAAGTATTTTACTTTTTAACCGACTCTGTATCGCACCTAACTTCATAAAATTTATGAAATATGGTGTCAAAGATCGTACGATTTTTAATTTTTGTATGAATAAAGCTGCCTATTACCCCCCACTGCTGAACGACGACCTTCTCCAAGGAGCGCTAACTATCCCGGTCTTGGGCAAGTAGCATCCATCCGCCGCCAGCCATTTTCTTCAAGTCGTCAATCGATTGTACCGCAGTTACTATGTTTGCATAATCGCGGTCTCCACTCTCTTACATATTATTAATACAAATATATATTATTACTTAATTATAACATAATGGAACCACACTTTAATAGTAAAGATTATTATTATTCTTAAAATAATAATAAAAATGGGAAAACACAAAACCATTTGTCACGTGTCACCCGATAAAATCTTATCATAATTAAGTTGTTAATTAATTACGCAATATTTGTGATTACCAATATTATATACACTTTATACGCACAATCCTAATATTTATAGTAACGTCAGACATGCAACGTAAACAAATAGGAATTTCCGAATTCGAATTTTTATATTTGAGCTAAATTTTAACTTATTCGGTTCTTTATTTTCGGGGCAAATTGACTATCCTAAAATGGCGTCGTTTTATTATACGATACTCTATAATAGTTAACAGGATCAAAAATCTACACTATTTTTTAGTTAATGAATACCGTTAACACTTATGACTGCACTTTAAATTGTATTCGAACACCAAATGTAGTAAATGATTATATTGCTGCGTCATAAGATTAAATGGTTCGATTGTTCCAGAATTTTGTGGAATGTGGAGGACAGCGACATCTAGTATCGAGTAAAGTACAACCATTGAGATTGTGATTAATAGTTCTGATACTTACAGCGCTAGATGGCGCTGCAAGTAACGCTTAACTGAAACTGGAATATTCTTATTTGTCTGGATCGGACTATCAAATACTAGGCATCATTCTAGTAAATTCGATAGCTCTATAAAAACGGAGCGTGCTGCCCGTACGACACAGAATTGTTTTATGACACAGGGAATTAGTGCGACGATTAGTAGAGTAATTTCTAGTGCGACCTACGAGTATATAGTGATTTCTTCTTTGTAATAGTGAGTGTTTATATAATAATATAATAAATAAAAGTTGTCGGTTAATTACTTTTATTGCACTGTAAGTACAAATACTTACAGTGCAATAAAAGTAATTAACCGACAACTTTTATTTATTATATACCCTTTTTTATTTATTATATACTATCTGTTTTATTTTTTTGAACAGGTGGATACATTTTAAGAAGTATTTTATGAGAATAAATCAAATATTTGGTCTATTGGTCTATTGGCTTACTGATTCTGAATGCTATATCAGAGGCCGTGGGTTTGATTCACATACAAATAGTTGCATGATGAGCTCGATAAATTGTCCTATCATCAACAGCCTTTACTAGTCCACTGCTGGACATAGGCCTCTCCTTAGAAAGGAGGTTTGGGTGTAATTATTTATCATATGTATTTGTTTATAAATATGAGAATTATTCAGTTGACTCTTGATCTGTAGCGATTGTTGATATACCTTAAGTTCCTATCTTGGTGATTTTGTATAGATTACCTTTAGTCGATGGTTTTTTCATCATCATCATCATCATCATCAGCCTATCGCAGTCCACTGCTGGATGCGAGAAGCCCAAAATCGATCTAAGTGGCGTGCAATGGGAGAGGCCTATGTCCAGCAGTGGACTGCGATAGGCTGATGGTTTTTTATCTCTGTTAAATATTAGATGCTGTGATCTATGGTTACAATTATGAAATTATTGGAAAAGAAAGACATAACACTTTTTAAACACACACATAAATTTTTCAATTCAAATCTATTTTGTTAAGTCCCGTAACACCTTTTTATGTAAGAGGCTAGGTAGATTTTAACAAAACACAATATTTTACTTACCACCAGATATATAAATATATAAAAAAAACACTTTATGCGCCATTTTCTTTTTAATAAAACCTCAATTTAATGTGAAACTTATTACCACCATCCTGTATATCACCTGAATACCTGCAACTCAAGAGTCACAAGTAAGTTGCCGTCCTTTGAATCTTCTCCCTGGCACCAGGAAGAGGGGGGGAGTTTGGGCTCTCAAAAATAGTTTAACATCCGTTTCCTGTGAGGCCATGGTATCACTCTGGTTGAACCGGCTCATTTGTGCTAAAGCGTGGCTTTTCCAAGGTTAAACAAATTTATTTGCTGTAATTTGCGTTTTGTTATGAGCCATGATAAGCGACATATTTTAGGCAAATTTAATATCCTTCTTTATTTTAGGTATACTGTGTTTGTACTAGCAGTTTACAAACAAATATTTTATGCGCATGGCGTGGCGCATAAAATGTTTCCCTTACTAATGCTTCCTAATCCAAATCGATCGAAATTTCGACGTGTCAGATATGCTTATGTCTTAAGATAATATCATATACATTTCATACCTAAATCATTGTGTCGTATCGCATATCAGTAAAAAAAAAATTGAGTAACAAAAAATTATCTATCATATACTTAAAACTTTAGTTTATCACGAATGAGGTAAATCACATTTGATTGATTGTTCTTAAATTTGATTGATTGTCTTAAAAATCCCTTCCTAATCAAGGTAATTATTTACCTATAGTAAAAATAAAGCTAAACTTTAGTCCTAACCTCAGTTGGTGCCTAGATTGCTACAATGAAGTCGTTTTTACTATTCTGTTTGTCCTTGTATGTGGTGGCTGCCAAACATGAAATTTATGATGGGTGAGTGGTTTTGATCTTTTAAATGGGAACGGCATATAATAGATTTTTGATTCGTATATTTTTTTATTAATTATGTTTTTTTTGCTAAATATTTGACAAAGCAGAGATTTTTGCTATTGTGTGTATTGATCTAAGTATGACTTTAGTCTAGATAAAAAACGAGTTCGTATTTTTTTGTTTTTTTTTGTTCCACCAAAACAAATCTTATAGAAGTTTTCAAGGCCTCAAATATAATTAACTTCTGAAAAACTTTAAGTTTAATTCTGATTTTTTTCTCGTGAATAGTATGGATGGGAATTTCTTTACAAATGCATTTAATGGCTGCAATTAAAACTGTACATCACACAATTTTTTAGATACGTGGTTTACGAGGCATACCCAAAAAGCATCGATGAAATTGAATTACTTAATGACGTAGCCAACGAATTGGGGTTAGACATTTGGTCACACGCTAACTTAGACAAACCAGGAGAATTTTTTGTGTCTGAATCTCAAAAGCTACCCTTCGAAGATACTATGAAGTCTATTGGAATATCATACAAGGTTACCGTTGAGAACATCAGAGAGTAAGTCAAGTTCATTTATCATAGAACCACTTAATTTATCAGATTATGTGTATGTTTTTTTATGGAATAGGGGGCAAACGAGCAGACGGGTCACCTGACGAACGCCTGCAACTCAGTAGTCACAAGCGCGTTTCCAGCCTTTGAGGAAGGAGTACTCTCTTTTCAGGTCGTATGGGTCCGGAAATACCGCAGCCGATAACTTGATCCACAGATTGGTAGTGCAAGGCAAAAAGTGTCTTGAAAAGCGCACAGTGGTGGAGCGCCAATTATCCAAGTGGTGGGGATGAAAATTAAAAAAAAAATGTGCATTCACCATGGATTGTATTATTCATTATATAAAATGCAGAAATTGCACGGTGGTCCAATTTCGACAATTTGTAGTATTTTGTTTTCCTGCATTTATTTATATGATTTATCATTAGTCCGTGTTGGTCCGTGTGGTGACGGATTAAGAATACAGAGTGTCACCACGACTATTCATCCCGTGGGTGTCGTAAGAGCCGACTAAGGGAGCAAACTACGCAGGACAACAACACTGCAGAGAGAAGGAAAACTTGACACAAACCCTATACCAACCCGTCTGACCAGCGTGGTATAGTAGGCCAAAACCCCCTTTCTAATGAGAGGTCTATGTCCAGCAGTGGACTATTAAAAGCTGTTGATGATAATTAGTTCATGAAACAGGTTTATTGTATTATTGGTGGTATAAGTGTTGTATAATTATATTATCTTTTAAGGATGTTAGAGTTGGAAGATCAAAAATTAGCAGCTGCAGCCACTTCATCGAGAAACAGCAATACATCTCGTCTTTCACTAGATGAAATATATACTGTGAACCAGGTAAAAATTGATCAAAAATAAAACTTAACTTAAAATAGATGTGATTTACTTATCTTTGAACAATCATCATCATCAAAGGCCACTGCTGGATATAGGCCTCTCCCATTCCATTGGACATTTCCACAACTGGTATCCAGGTAAATCATTTAAGGCATATCTTATTTCAACAATGTTTATTTATTTACGAAACGAAATTTAATATTGTGCTGATATATATCGTTGAAAGGTTAAATATAATGCTAATTCCTAAGGTTGTGGTTTGGGTTTGTAGTAGTGCAAGAAATTTTTAAAACTTTGAGGTTTCGCGAAGTCAATAAATGGAAAATACATTTTTCTAGTGTATGAGAAGATTTATTTTATATTATAATGATGCTAATTCTATTGTTCGAAAACTCTCTAAACTAAACTAAAAATCACTAAAAATTAGTTTAGTCCTGTCAAGTACTAAGTTTTCAGGATAGGAAACGACAATTGACAGGACCAAACAATTTTTTTGTGATTTTTAATTTAGTTTAGAGAGTTTCCGAACAACACAATTAGCACCAGTACCTCTTTTAATGTTATTCATGCGACTAGCTTCGTTCTGCACATAGTAAGAGTATATTCCTTCTAGTACTTTATATACTCACCAAAGTACAACAAATATATACTATGTGTAACCATCACTATGTTTTATATTTACATATATATTCTACTTTGATTTCCTCTTTTTATCTATTTCCTTACACACTAGCCATTTCCCTATACCACTTCCCCTTCATGTTTTCTCTACATACCACAGTTGCCTGTAAGAGATTGCCTCTGATCGATAAGGCCGCCATTTGTACTTGTCGAACCTAATTTAAGTTAATGATTGTATATTTATACATTAAAGCGATATATTATTATTATAATTGTATTATGACATAATATAACTTGTTTCTGTTCGCAGGTTAATCAGTACTTGGCAGACATAGCCGGGAGGTTCCCTAGGGTCACCAGACTTGTTAATGGAGGAACCAGTGTCGAAGGTCGCACTATTCAGTACCTGGAAATTTCCACAACTGGTATCCAGGTAAATCATTTAAAGCATATCTTATTTCAACAATGTTTATTTATCGTAAAAAAGTACGAGTTTTGACAGAACTTTGACACAAGTTATTCGTATATTTAAGACAGCTGGTACCATTTCAAGTCAGTAAAGTTCATCAATTTTTTTTCAGAATACACGCAAACCGGTAATTGTGTTGCAATCTCTCCTACACGCCCGTGAGTGGGTAACTCTGCCACCAGCTCTTTACGCCATTCACAAGTTAGTGGTTGACGTAACCGAATCTGATGTGCTGAACAACTTTGATTGGATCATCCTGCCTGTCGTCAACCCTGATGGGTATGCTTGGTCACATTCAAATGTAAGTAGATATATAGTATATTATGGTTCAGAGAAAAGAAGAAGAGATGAATGAATGAATAACGAATAACCGTAACATACCGTTATGGAGTAAATTCTTGTTATTTATTAAAGAAATGGGTAGAAATAGTATCTATAAACGTACAATACTGAAAATTAATCGAAACGGTCTCTTATTTTTAGGCCCGATTCTGGCGCAAAAATCGTCGCAGTGGCTTGATGATTGGTAATTTCTGCCTTGGTGTCGACTTAAACAGAAACTTTAACGTCAACTGGGGTACAGCATCCAGCTCGAACGTATGCATGGATACATTCCACGGACGGGGACCAAATTCTGAACCTGAAACCCAAGTTGTTGTCAACGTTCTAAACAGATTCAGTGGCCGTGTAGCAATGTACATAGATTTGCACAGTTTTGGCAGCATGATTTTGTATGGATGGGGAAATGGGACCCTTGCACCTAATGCTTTGTCACTTAACGTGGGAGGTGTTAGGATGGCACAAGCTATCGACGCTGTCAAATGGCCGCAAAAACCTAATTATCGAGTTGGTAACATTGTTGCTGTACTACAATACCGAGCTTCTGGTGGAGCTAGTGATTTTGCACAAGCAACTGGAATCCCATTCTCTTATACTTATGAATTGCCAGGACTTTTAGGTGCTGGTTCAAACAATATTAACAGCTTCTTAGTAGATCCGAGTTTCATTAGACAGGCAGCAGTGGAAACCTGGGCCGGCATTGTAGCTGGTGCAAGACATGTTTGGAATGTTTTATAACCTTTTAGAAACATAAATCAAATAGATTTCTATGTTATCAAATATTAATTTTGAAATACACTTTTTCAAGTACTGTGCTTATTTTTTTATGAATGTCTGTCACTTCTGCAACTCAGAAATCACAAGCTCGTTGCCGGCCTTTTAGGAAGGAGTACGCTCTTTTCTTGAAGGTAACAGCAATAGTTTGTGCACTTAGCAAGCAAGACTGCATAGCATACAATTTTCTTTTACCTGAAGTTCAACTTACCACTATAAAATTAAAGGGATAGTGACCCTTTGGAATTTTATAAAGAAAAAGATGTTCATCTGAAAAAAAAATCTTATGTATACACAAAATTTTATGAACTCTACTTTTAATTATGGTCTAACCTAATCGTGAGTATCAACGTCTTGGCACTGTCTAATAGCAGATGCCCAAGCTGCTGTTCAGAAGACCAATTCTCGTAATAAACATTCTGTCATACTTCAGTTCCCATTAACTTTCGATCTCACAACTGCCATAAAAGGTATTTTCGTAGTAAATTATAAAACGTCCAACGTTGTCGGTATTGTGACAATATCGTATTGTGATCAAAAATGGTATCAGTAATCTGCTAGTCTTAGTAATACTTTACTATTTTACGAGATCGCGCGTTGATAGGAACTTGGCCTTCAGATCCTTCAACAGTGGTGGGGCGAGGCTCAAAATTTGGATGAAGCCATCGACCAAAAGCGCACTGCCCGCGCCGATAGCTAGTCAGCTTTGTTTGACAACCTAATCAACTACTAGTAGTACGCAGTAGGTGTCATATTCACCACATTTTTTAAAGACGCAATTTTATTTCTTTATTTATATTAAACTTTATGCACTTTTGTACACGGTGGATTAAGAATACGGAATGTCACCACCCTTTATTCATCCCGTGGGTGTCGTAAGAGCCGACTAATGGAGCAAACTACGCAGGACAACAGCACTGCCAAGAGAAGGAAAACTTGAACCAACCCGTCTGGCCAACGTGGTATAGTAAGCCGAAATCTCCTTTCTAAGGAGAGGCCTATTTCCAGCAGTGGACTGTTATAGGCTGGTAATGATGTACATCGCCGGACTTAATTCCCAAGGCATTCTCTTCTATTCAACCTTTGGGTGGTGTAGAAATCCTATAAGGTGCACATGTATGACATGTAAATCAATGAAAATATATATACATAAACTTATACATACACATATACACACATACAACACATTACATCATATATATGTATATATATATATATATATAAAACATTATATTCGTACACTATGTATACCGGAATATAAGGTGTACTAAGGACTGGATAGTTCTGCCATGTTATTAAGAAGGAGAGCATGCACCTTCTTTTTAAATGCAAAACGGTTTGTGGACATCCTGATTTCGAGCAGGGGCGCATTCCAGAGTAGTACTGCTAGAACAAAAAAAGACGAGTTCACGAAGTCGGATTTATGGGACCTTATATTACCTGTGATTAGAGGACAGGTAACGGAAGTAAAGAGCAAGGTGAGGTCGGTTAATTTAAAAGTGAAAATAGAGCGGTGAGTGCATGCTGATTGCGGCGCAAGCGAATAGGCAAGCAGTTTATTTGGGAACGCCAAGCAGAAACATGGTTATGCTTCCGAAGATTGAAAATGTATCCAATGCAGTTGTTGAGAAGACGGTCCAGCTTATTAAGAAGGTTTGCATTCAGGTCGCAATTTTCATATCTGAATAATTATTGAGTTTGTTTATTAAAGTCCACAAATACAAGTAAGTATAAAAGTTTAACCGGCCTATTTGGTCTAGTGGTTAGTGACCCTTACTGCTAAGTGCACACACAGCACGAGTTCGATTGCCACCCACGACAAATTATTGTGTGATGAGCATAATCATTTGTTCTATGTCTGGGTGTATTTTATGTATTTAGAAATATACAATTATGCTTATAAGCAGTCTGGTTACCATGGTACAAACGTTGCCTCAATATACGCAGCATCTCATCGTAGATCTTTAGACTTTAAATTTACCGATATACCAAAAAAAGTGAAATAAAATAATAATGGTACATACGCGACTACTTAATGTTGTTATCACCAATTAGCTTTTGGTATTTACTTTTGCATTGGGAAGTTTTAATGCGTACACGCAATAACTAATCGCATAAAAAACATAAATTGTGCACGTATTAAAAGGGCACATAACAACAGCATGGTTTCTTGTGAGTTTCTCTTGATGATGAAATATTAGTTATAATTTGAAAAAGTTACAAATTATTTTAAGCTTTATGTATGCCTTGAAATAAAGCACCCTTTTAAATAGGAACGCATTTTATATGCCTGTTCGATTTACCAAAATCTGAAATCATATATTTGAAAATAAAGCTAAACAAATATTTGTACTAAACAATTGATATTAATTTAGTACAAACGTATGATATTTGCAAATCTATTTAATGATGAACAATTTTTAATGTGTATTCTACTGATAATTTATAAACATTATTTATTTGGGACTTTCCTCATCCATAATGAATCAATCCATAATGTTTGTTATGTTAATTTTGCATGCTGCTGTGACCTCGGTTACCACTTAGCCACGAGAATCTCTATTTTTTTTTTGTTAAAGTGGTGGAAGATCGTCATGGATGTTCTTCGCCCATTAGGGGACCCACTAGACCCTCTTAGCATATTTTAATTGAACCATATCAACACAATTTCTACTCGAATGCGTACGATTTCAATTCCATCTGTTTATGTATTTATAGCCAAGCATATCGTAATAATGAATTAATTTTTCCTTAACAATATTTCTTGTTTAATACAGAGTCAGTATTATTGTTTCAACAAAGTGACGCGGTTATAATGCTAAAATTACATTAAACGAATATTTATGAGTTTTCAACTATCAAAATGAAAAATTTGATTCATAAAGTTGTTAGTTTTTTGTGTTTCTTTTGTTCTACTAGTCCTACGGATGGTGAGTTGTATTGTTTTTGTTTTATAGTGAACATACTTTGGCAGTTGCTCCTCTATTGTCAATGTTATTTTTAATCCGTTGGGTAGTTAAGGCATGAAAGCATAATATACCCACTTTTATAATTAGAATTTGTAAAAAGTAAATATGTACCTTTGTGTAACCCTGACATCGCTTGAGATCAGAGTTAGGAGATGAAAGAAAGTTCCCGTTGTTTTAAATATTTGTTTTTAAAATATAAAAGTTTTTATCTAAAAACCAATCTTGAATTGATTTACAAAATACTCGTTAACTCGAACAAACCTACGACCTAGTTTTTAACAATAATTTGGTTGCATCATCACCATCGCCATTAACAGACCTTAATAATCCACTGCTGGGCCTTTTTTTTAAGGTATAAGGGGGCAAACTAGCAGACGGGTCATCTGATAGTAAGCAACTAAACTACCGCCGCCACTCCTTGTGGTGACACTCCTTGTTCTTGATCCATCACCACACGGACAGAATTGTAACATGACGCCTCTTTGAGTCCCTTTCCCTTAGAATCAGGGAAGGAGGGGATAGTACGGACTAAAAATAAATTGCAAACCAAGTCATTCCATAATTCTACGAATAATGCATGAGTTGGTTTTTCAAAACTGAATTACATATAATTTTGCCCTAAATTTAAGATGAATCATAATCCAAAAATGATTTTAGCGTTAATACACATACAGTACGCTACGGCTTTTTAAGTAACCCCTCCTCGCTTCCTTTTATTTTAGAACTAGCTGGTAAGTTCGAATCCCGGGCAGTGCAAAATTTTATAGGGTTTTTCTGAGCGGGCAAATAGCCTAAGTTACTCATTATATAGACAGCTACCTGGAAGTATAATATTATCAAAATCGGTCAGGCCGTTTAGAAGATACCCGGAACAAACAAACAGATAAACAGACAAAAAAAACAATTTAAACTGTTTTTTAGGAATATTTTTCGTGCAAATAACCGTGTAAGCATAAAAAAAATTTACATTACAAACAGACACTAATTTTATGTATTTTTATAAAAGAGCGGTACTCGTAAGTGATTGCCGCTCATGAACACCTGCACCTCTAGAGACCGAGAATAAGGGAGTTTGTGATTTTTTTTTTTTTTTTACCTGTGGAAATCCCCTCGGACCCTCACCCCGCCGGGGCTCTCGTTCGGCGGGGCGGTGTTTCGGACTCGAACCGACTAAAACCACACGGTGTGCCCTCTTTGCGCTTCCAGTTTAGGAGGGGTCCAGGTAGTTATCGAGGGGGTTTGTGCCTCCGGTAACCTTACTAACTCGGTAATTAAGTAAAAAAAAGATAGTGTAAGGAGCAACGAAAGCCTCACCTTCATCAAGGTTTACTAGCAACCGAAATAACTAGTATTCCCGTTAACCCCTCCAGCTAATCTAAATTGCTTGCGTTAAGAGTGAGTTCACGTCGGTTGTGTACTGGGTACTACGAACTTTTGATCCCCTGTCAAATGCTTTATTTTACTTTGATACCTTATTAACTTAGTTCACTTAACATTGGCTTTCTTTAAGGCCGTAGTATCACCATATTTGAGTAACATGCGAGAAAAGAAACTCCTATGCCTCTCTTTCCTTCTCTTCAAAACCCTTTAATTCATCAGCATCATCAACAGCCTATAATAGTCCACTGCTGGACATAGGTCTCTCCTTAGAAAGGAGGTTTTGACCTGCTATACCACACTGGCCAGACGGGTTGGTATAGGAATTGTGTCAAGTTTACCTACTTTTTGCAGTGCTGTTGTCCTGCGTAGTTTGCTCCCTTAGTCGGCTCTTACTCACGGGATGAATAAGGGTGGTAACATTCCGTATTCTTAATTATAATCTTCAATTATATTTAAAAGAAATTAGTGATATCCAAAAAAGAGATACTATAGGACTAGAAAATATTATACACTGTTTTCAAAAGCATGTCTTTGTAATAAGGCTTAACAGTTGTTTCAGATTCCGTTAATGTAATTAAAGTATATAATAATTCAATAAAAGAGTACTTTTATGAAGAAACTCAAAATAAACATTACAAATATATAGAAAACTGGTACTGGGTTTCCTCAGACCATCCTGTAACTATAATTTTCGTCGACTACAGAAATACAACAGTAGTAAGGTATGTGTTAAGTAATTATTTAATAATATTTATAATAATAATAATATTTTACTACATTCACACAACGCCATCTAGTCCCAAACTAAGCAGAGCTTGTACAATAGCTACTAGACAACTGATATAAATACATATGTACTTTTTTTCGTGAATGCATAACACCCAGACCAAATCAAACATTGAATGTTCATGCACACAAATGTTTGACTTGAGCGGGAATCGAACCCGCGACCTTTGGAATAGCAGTCCGTCACACAAACCACTACGCCATCTTGCTCATTGATGAGCAAGGATCGTTGGCTCGATTAACACTCAGGACAAATGATTATGTCATCATCATCGTCATGAATAACCTCTAATAATCCACTGTTGGACATAGGCCTCTGCCTAGCAAGAAGATTTTGGTTGGTGTAGTATTTGTTTCAAGTTTTCTTCTCTCTGCAGTGCCGTTGTCCTGTGTAGTTTACTGCGACACCTACGGTATGAAAAGGGATGGTGACCCTCCGTATTCTTAATATGATTTCAGAGAATCAATAAACTAGAAATTTCAACGTGGGACTAACGCAGCAAAAAGTTCTCGTAATATCACAAAGAGTTAGGTACATTACATGGACTTTGCATGTATGAGTTGAGATATACTAGTAATTTTTTTAATTTTAAGAAAATCAGAACCGATTCCCCCGAAACGAAATGCTAATGAAGCTTATAGTAAGGAATTGTGGATTTTTGCCGCGATTTACAGAAGTTTTAGCGTTAATCTAGAGAGTATCAGCTAATATTGACCAGTGGAGATTTCAAAATTGTGATAATATCTTATATAAACCTTTATTGATGTTTAACACGATTTATAAACAAGTGGTGTATTTTTCCTACATCATCATCATCAACAGCCTATAACAGTCCACTGCTGGACATAGGCCTCTCCTTAGAAAGTAGAGTTTTTCCTACTATACCATGCTGGCCAGATGGGTTGGTATACTTTATTTATTTTTACACTTCCTGTATCACAACTTGCACGAGGCGGACTTAATGCCGCATGGCATTATCTACCAGTCAACCTTAAGATGGTTCAGTAAGGGGCATGGAAGGTGCACATGTATTAAATAAAAAGGAGAAACTATGAAAATATAACATTAATTTGATAATACTATTTAAAATACATAGACGAATACATAAATAACTATTAATATATTATACATACGGAATGAAATAAATAAAATAATGTCTGAGGCGACGAAATCATGAGGGTATTTCTCGTAGCTGCTTCCTGTAGAATTCTCGGACTTTAGCTTTGAACGTGTCGCGACTTCCTGACATCCTGATCTCAAGTGGAAGCGCATTCCATAGTAGGATATATTGGACAGCAAATTAAGAATGAACAAGAGAAGAAGTGTGTATTGGACACAAGAGTAAAAGATTATTAGTGGACCGAAGATCTCTGTCATGATTGGAGCATAGTGGTTTAAGCTGTGAAGTAAGATAAGTACGAGCTGTAGGATTATTAAGAAGAGAATAAAGGGTAGACAAGGCCCGCAAGCTACGGCGCTGACGTATTGGTAACCACGACAGCTGGGATCGATAGGCAGACACATGGTCATACTTGCGGAGGTTGAAGATGAATCGAATGCAATTATTGAGAACACGATCAAGTTTGTTGAGTAGATGTGCATTCAGGTCGAGGTAGCATACATCACCATAATCGATGATTGGAGAGATGAAAGCCTGTACAAGCATTAATTTAGTAGTATGTGGAAGAAAGTTCTTTAGCCAATATAGTGATTGCAAGGTTCCAGTGACTTTTTGACATACATTCGCAACCTGTTGTTGCCAAGTGAGGCTGGAGTCACTCCATAAGCCAAGATCTTTGACAAATGGACTGATCGGTATGTCGGATCCGTTGTAAACGATCGCCGGTAGTTTTGTCTAATCTGCTCATCATTCTGGGGCTACCTATGATTATGGACTGTCACTTGGAGGGATTCACTCTTACATCGAACCGCTCAGACCAGTTTTTGATTGCCTCCAAATCACTGCTAATGTTATCGACTGCTTCTGCTAAATTATCGGGGCTGGTCTGTGAATAAATTTGAAGGTCATCCGCATACAAATTATACGCACACTGAAGATGAAGAGAAATGGGATTGATAAACATCGAAAATAAGATAGGTGATAAAATGCCACCCTGTGGAACGCCAGCGCCAAGATCACACAAACTTGATGATGCTTCATCAATGCGGACCGACTACCACAAACGTCCGACGTCCACAAAGATGAGATGAAAACCTTTCCAGTGCTTCGGTGGAGACCATATAGTGAGTGAGGATAGATATAAGGGTATCGTGGTTGACCGCGTTAAAGGCGTTGGAGAAGTCAATCAGGACCAGGACAGTCACTTTTGCGTCTTCCACCCCATTCCTAATACTGCTGGACATTTTAAGCATAGCTGTAACTGTGCTATGACCAGGTCTGAATCCTGATTTAAATGGGCTGAGGATATTGTTTTGATGGATAAACTTTGAGAGTTGTTTATGAACACACGCCTCTAGTACTTTGGATAGGAAAGGGAGAATTGACATGGGTCGGAAATGGCTCGGGAGGGAAGGATTAGGCATCTTTGGAATTTATGCCCTTCGCCATGCGACCGGGAAGTATCCAGACTAAAGAGAAAAGTTGACTATATGAGAGATTACAGGAAGAAGTTGGTCTAATACGGTGACAATCATAAAGCGACTTATATCGTCACAACCCACAGCCTTAGATGTTATCTTCAGGATGGTTCCTCTGATCTCGTCCGAGGCAACTGGAGAAAACGAGAAGACTTCAAGACACCGGCGTGGGAGCCCAGCAACACGATCGAGAGTTTGACTTTTGGTTCGGGACGGCATTGAGGGAGATGTAATGAAATGTCATTGATGTACTGGGATGCTGCCTTACCTATACAGAAAGTCCTAAGAAACTTCTAGATACCGGCCGGCGTGGAAGAAGCAATGTTCAGGAGAATGTGGTGGCGTTTAGTGTTACGTATCATTTGATTGTATCTATTTCTTGCAGTTTTGTAGATGGTCCAATTGCTCTCACAACGATCCTTTTTAAATTTCTGATAGGTCCGGTCCCTACGGCGCAGGTATAGGGTAGGCACGATATAGGGTTTATTTCAAGTTTTCCTTCTCTTTGCGGCGGTATTGCCCTGCGTAATTTGTTCCCTTAGTCGGCTCTTACGACACCCACGGGATGAATGGGGGTGGTGACATTCCGTATTCTTAATCCGTCACCACACGGACAATTGGACACACGGGACAATTGTCCACACGGACAATTTTTCCTAAGTGGTCAATATTTATAAGTGTGTTCAAATTTCAGTTGCACTACTGCGGAAAACAGAAAACCAAACATTGAAAAAAAATACGAAGAAAATACGCCTATAATCACTGTAAGTCATAAAATCAATTCAATTTAAAGGCTATGTTTACTATAATCAGAATATTATATTGGTTAAATGATTGCACGATGCAAAAACTGTTTCAAAGAGAATATATAAATATACTCTTTGAAACGGTTTTTGAACACAATAAGAAAATTAGTGACACAATTAGAACGACTTTTAAGAGTTTTGTGCTCGCTAAAGTTACATCAAATTTGAAGGAAATCAGTTTCCTGTTAGACTTTGAGTCGTCCATTTGAAAAAAATTTGCAACTATTTAAAAAGCCGCATTAATCCACATATTAAGGGGTTCATCGTCGGGGTTGTCGCTCTCCATTAGGTAACCCGTCTGCTCCTTTGCCCCCTCTTCCATAAATAATAATAATCCAGGTGTAGCTAACGATTTGTAATCTAACGATTTGTAATAGATACAGCACCCGCATATTTAAATCGTCATTTCAGCGGCTTTGAAAAAGTCATTAAAACTATGACGTCCCAATTATGACGAAAAACTTGGGGACACTAAGTAAAGCGTTATTAAACTTAATTAAACACAACCTAATGTTAAAATTAATTAACTTTTACATCAGTGTCACCGACTTCAATGTGCCTAGTGTGGTATTTTTCCCCCCTCACTAGTAATATTTCTTAATGAGACCAAACGGGCAGTATACCTAAAAAAACCGGTCAGGTACGAGTCGAACTCGTGCGCCGAGTTCGACTCGTACCTGACCTTACCCAGATTTAACGTACATTTTCTCGAAAATTTGTAAGTACCAAAATTTATTTATTCCTTTATTTATTCCTATATTTTAGAATTATTCCTTTATTTGCTGTTGTGACGTTTCTTTTTGCCAAATTTCATGATTATAGGTCAACGGGGACTACTAGACTAGGGGTTGATCTAGAATTGTCAATTTAGGTTAGAAGCCCAAGGTCTTACAGTACAAGTAAAGAGAAAATTCTGAAAAATAAAAAAGTTGAAAATTAAGGTAAATTTTGGTATTTACTTGTAAGTAAATCGCGTAAATCGAAATTTGCCCATATCTTTTTATTGTGTTGACTCAGGAACTTGATTTTTTTACACCTAATAGGGATCATAGCTAGCTAGACCAACTTGCTAGCTTTACCCGTTCCTGAGAAAATCGGTGGAGATACCCGGACAGACGGATAAGAAAGTGATCTTATAAGGGTTCCCTTTTTACCTTTTGAGGTACGGAACCCTAATAAAAACTTTTTTTTTGCAAATCGGTTCATAAACAGCACTTCAGAGATAGCAAATATAAAGATACACAACCTAATTTAGAATCTCTGCTTTCCTCCGCGGTATTTTAAAATTTTAATGGCACGCATGAAATCAATGATGCTCATTTTCAACTTACAGATTAAAAGCGACTATATAATAACAGGTACATGGTCTTGTGAACTATGGAACAACTACAACTCCAATGGTACAACTGAATTCATATATTTTAGACTACGCGAGAAGGACAAAAGTAAGTACACTTTCAATGTTATTCGACAACAAGCTAAATCTGTTCATCTTCAAACCCTATATAGAACCCGGTCGGGCCTAAAGCCAGGGTCATCCAGAAACACGTACATCCCTACAACAGTACGTCTTAGTTTAATACTTAATAAAGGCTACAAATGGTCTAAAAACGAATAATTGTCTGCAATACGTAGTGAACCTTTCTTTCTGCTATAATTCACACCCAATATATTACACATATACACACACACGCGCACGCACGCACCCACAAATGCACGTACAGTACACACAAACACACATATACGAACACCCAAACAAATTACATTGTAATATTTAAAATCTTGCTGTCGTCTCCTTCCTAGAGATGGCCGTTACCAGCCACGACACAGTTTTTAACTAAATTGGCTGTTATCTAAATCATTTACTGCTTTTTTTTTTTTATTATGCTTATTGTTTTATTATTACTCGCTGACAAAAAAAAAGTGGGGGCGAGGGCAGGAGGGTACATTATTACCTATTGTCATACCGAACAAACGTATACAAAAAAAAAACAGTTTCAGAGGAGTTCGACCACACAAGCACCGTTATTTAGAAGAGATTACACTCATATGTATGTGCATATGCTCAACGACCTATTTGATTGTTTTCTTGTTTATTGGCAGTGCCTCCCCAACAGATACTGGTAAATCACATTGATCTTATTCTTAAAAAAGAAAACGATATATACACAGCTGAATACTTCTACGAGGACGGTGAGAAAGTGCATGTGGATTGCATCAGCTCAGATGAAACATGCACCGTACAAATGAGTAATCCTTTCAGTGTTATAGATGGTAAGACTAAAGATATTAAAAATACTATACATTTATTTAAAAGGAAAACCTATCACTTACGTACAGTATATATTTGATAAAACGTAAAGGAATTATCATATTTGTACTTCCGTAACAAAGATCTGCAAAATTATTTATGACTAATCTTCAGCCACAAAATATGAAACTTTGATACTTGTTTGGCCTGATAATTTTCAGTAAAATATTTTTAAGAGTCAGCGCACACACCGGAGTGGCGGCCAAGAGTAGTCACGCGCACTAGCTCCTGAACGTGTCGGCTCTTACTCTTACGGCCAAGCCGCCGCGAGCCTCTCGACCGCGCTTGGCGACTCCGATACACTTGTTTCAATTGTATATCAACATGACAAAGCTCATTTTTAGTTGATGACGCATTAGTCTCTTTGCCACCACTCCGCCAATTTACGCTGATCCTAAAGGCCTTACTTCTATTTATAAATAAAATAAGTGGTTTTTTAAATCAATATTTTTTATCATTCAATTGGAGTCCGTGTGGTGACGGATTAAGAATACAGAGTGTCACCACCCCTATTCATAGGTGGGTGTCGTAAGAGCCGACTAAAGGAGAAAACTACGCAGAACAACAGCACTGGGGTAGAAGGAAAACTTGACACAAACCCTATACCAACCAGTCTGGCCAGCGTGGTATAGTAGGCCAAAACCTCCTTTCTAAGGAGAGGCCTATGTCCAGCAGTGGACTATTAAAGGCTGTTGATGTGATGATGTGATGTGAATTGGCGTCACTATGGCCGCAATTGCAGCAAAATGTCCATCCCATTCACTTCAATAGTCAAAAGCCGGTAACGCACTTGTGACGCCTGTTGCAGGTGACCATGGGCGGCGGTAGCCACCTGCCCCCTATTTTCTAATCTCCACTACTGGACAAAACTCAATCTGGACACCGTCATATACATATTTATATTTCTACATGCTGTAAATAAGCTTGACCTTGAATCTCTTTATCTGTCAAACCGTATCATATAACCTAACCCAATACTTTTTCTAAAGAAATTTCTATTTCTTTTATAAAACTGTTTTTACAGAAAATGGCGCTTCGGCATGGGGCTTCGGATTTCCTGTTAACTTACATTCTTACGACAATCAAACTAAAATTAAATGCATAAGCGACTGCTCGGGTATTAAATCCACTGTTGAGGTAACATTTGTGGAACTACAGAGTAAGTCATTACATAAAACTATTTTTTTACTTAAACCAAATATAAGCACCACAGTTCTAAGAAAGAATGATAATCATGGACGATGGATAACACGAAATAATCATCTACCTAAGCGGTGACTTGAAACAGTCACCATGTTGTTGCCATGCCATGCTTGTGTCTGCACCGTCGGTCTCTAGGTTTAATTATAACATACAAACAGTGAACTTTCACTGTTTGTATGTTATAACTGTGACGAAACATAATAGTTCAACCTCGAACATTTATTTTTATTTTTTTACGTGTTCTCGTGGGAGAGCCATGATTTGACACATATGGGCTAGGCACAACCGGATACCACGGCCTCGCAGAATACCGGTGTTAAGCAGTTCTTACATTGCTTTTCACCTAGTGAGTGAGGTTACCAGAGCAGTTTCAGTCCCTCCCCTCCACTTGTAACTCTTGAGTTGCGGGTGTAAATCGGCGGCAGTGGTCACTTGCCATCAGCTGACCCGTCTGCTCGCTTGCCCACTATACCATAAAAAAATCTGTTGAAACCCCGTCGCGCCGTCACCCTACAGGGTACTCGTGTTGGGGTTGCATTATTTTCTGGGAGGTGAGAGAAACATTCTGGCAAATAATAAGCCGGAATACTGACATTTCACCTAACATCGGCAGGCCAACTCGCATTTAATAGCGACGTTCCTGATAACATTTATTAAGCCTTAATGCAGCAGAGCAGTCTCCATAACACAGTTGAAACTAAGGGTTCGTGCAAGCGTTGTGTAAGCAATATCGCGCGACTTAGATCGTGCCAACTTGTGGTGACTTGACAGAATGTACACAACTAAACGGCTTAGTGCAGCGTGCCCGCGACTGGCGACATGTGGTCGCGTGACTTGCAGTGACCAGTCGCCAGAGATGCATTGCGACCTTTTTTTGTTAAAGGCAACGCCCGCATTAGGAATATATCCTGTGTCGCGGAGGACTTTACAAACATACATGAAACGGACACAATGAACACCCAGACTCAGAACAACAATTTGTGGGTCACACAAAGTGTTGTCCCATGTGGGCAATCCACAACACTCGGCGTAGTAGGAAGCGGCGTGGCGACCGCTTAAACCACTACGCCATCCGTGCAGTCAAATATAATAATGGATGCAAGAGACTTAATAGATGCAATTCGTAACCACCTAAAAATCTTTTCCTTCTTCTCATCCTTTTGATGACCTGAATCCGTAAAAGAGAATTTCCCAACAATAAAAGTTCTGATACTATATCCATTTTCGCTCTAAGTACTCCTTTTCACGAAACCAAACAATAAGAATTTTCAGTGCTAACCCCGAATAGGTAATGAAATTATGAATTGTCAATGATCGGTCCCAAGTAGTGACATGGCTAGTCACCCGCACGCTGCACTGTTTTTTTGGCCGAAGTTGCGCGACATCGCTGGCACGCTGCACGAGCTCTAAGGAAAAGTAAGCGCATTTTTTTTTTCTGTATTTCGGTATTTGCGGTATATTCCATCTATGATAAATGGTTTCCAGTTCTAATTTAATTTATTTATTTTTACATAAATTAAATGCTTGACAAAGTCCTCTGTTAGTGCCTTGGTAATTAAATATAGTATTTAACACCCTTCAGTACCTACCTTAGTTTTAGATTATGTACTAAACAATATTATTTTAAAATGAAAATTATTTAAGTAATTTATTTACAGAATACCCACACGAAATAAATATAAAAATCAATAATCAAGATATCACAAAAAATGTTGAGGGTAGAGAATATGTCAACTATGCGTATTTTTACAACAATGAACAAATAACAATAACGTGTGATACAAACAAAAATGATATTGCCACGAGTATATCATGTGAAAATTGTTATAACGAAACAGGTATGCTAATCTTTTTTTTTAAATTGACACGAAAACGGCATTCTCCAGATCGATTAGGAGATTTTGATGAAGATGAAAAAGTCAACGAAGAAACATTAATGGATGTATATGAAGAAGAAGTGGAAATGGCTTCTTCAAGTAGTGGAAAGGGTGATAAAAAAAGATTTGAAGTTAAGAAGTGGAATGCTGTTGCTCTATGGGCCTCGGATATCGTAGTGAACAACTGCGCTATTTGCCGTAACCACATTATGGATTTGTGCATAGAATGTCAAGCCAACCAAGGGTCAGCTACTAGTGATGAATGCACAGTTGCTTGGGGCGTTTGTAATCATGCATTACATTTTCATTGTATCTCTCGTTGGCCTAAAAATTAGAGAAGTTTGTCCGCTGGACAACAGAGAATGGAAATTCCAGAAGTATGGACATTAAACAATGTATTATGCCCGGCCCAGCCAGAAGTTACAGTTTGTCATATTAAGAATGGGCATACCAATGTCAATATTTCTTAAGTTGTTAATAAACTAACTCAAAGTACTAAATTTTTCGTCATTAATTTCGCGACATTTATATTGTAACTAAGAAACTCTTGTAATAAAAATGAAAATCCATAAAACCAGTAAATATTGTACCAGTAAATTAAACTGGACTATAAACAGATTTAAAAGGTGAAATTACTCTTCTTGAGGTATTCTAATTTGACTTATCCCTTTGTGTAGCGGTCAGTAATCCTGGTCGCCAAGCTGGAGGTCATGGATTCGATTACCACCCAGGACAAATATTGTGTGATAAGCACAATCATTTGTTCTATGTTTAAATTACTCCCGTAATTTATCTATCATAGATATTTTATACGTGTGTTTATTTAAAAACATATGTGCCCGGTCGACGTCAATACTATCTGTTTCGTGAATGGGATATAGTTGGCAAAATGTGAGAGGGTTGCCCTTTGGGGATAAAAAAACAAAGTATATATATGTATTCAAAATTCATAAATTATGGCACCTTGGTTAAGGAATTTTACAAGCGGATGCATCAAGAGAAATTCGGTCATTACAGCCTGAACAAATTATGTGACACTTAGCCATGTATTATGAATCTGAATAAAAGAAACAGAAAATACTATACTCATTACAGATATACAATTTTTTGCATTTAATTTCAGAAAAGGAACTTACAGACCGAAAAACTGAAGTAACTTTTGTACCCAATATGATATCAGATTTTAGTTGTGAAGCGAAAAATCAAAGTGGAGTGTGGGTGGTGGTCGAAGTTTATATTAGATTCCAGCTGGTATCATGTCGAGGTAAGCGTACAAATGAAATTTTCTTATATTCTTCTTCTAAGTCTCGTTCTTCGTTAACTGATGATCGTGTCTTATTTGATACAGCTTCGTAGATGTTATCATTAGGAGCCTCTACATCACTTCGACTTCAGCCTGTCGGATAGCGGTTGTCAATGTTATTTAAGGGCTTTTATTTTACAGAAATAGATCTAAAATACCAACAATAACAGAATACATAAACCATTGTCTTTACTTTATGTCATTCTGGCAATCAAACCAATTTTTTGTAACCGATATAAGACAGTATAAATACATATATGACCTATTATATATGTTGTACTGGTTTTACCTTGTAAATTTAGGTATATAAGACAACTTTGTATGCCACGTACAAATTACTTACTTAAATATATTATTATTATTATATTTTTAATCATGGGACAGGTGTTTGTATACTTTATATGTCCCATTCTTGTCATTCATTGTTCTTATTGTCGATGAAACAGTGCCCAAAGATAAAAGTCTTTCTTTAATGAGGTGATCCAGCAGAAAACCAAGGTCATCAACATAGCCCACCAGGCTAGCAAGCTGAAGTGGTAATGGGCTGGCCATATTAGCCGTAGAAATGATAACAATTGGGGTAATCGAGTCCTTGAGTGGAGACCACGTCTTGGCAAACGTAGTGTAGGACGCCCATAGGCCAGGTGGAATGACGATCTGTGCAAGATGCTGGCAGGAGCCTGATGCGAGAAGCCGAAAATCGATCGATGACCCTAAAATATTTGTAGGAGAGCCATGCTTCGGCACAAACCGCAACGACCGGAGTGATACCACTTCCTAACAGAAAACCGGTGGTAAACAATCGTTTCGTAGTTTTTCTCTGAATTACTTTTTTTTATGTTAGAGGGGGAAGACGAGCAGATGGGTCATCTGATGGAAAGTGACCATCGCCGCTTATGTATGTCTGCAACTCAGGAGTCACTCAAACGCGTTGCCAAGAGCGTACTGCTTCCTAGCAGTACGCTCTTTTTTTGTAGGTAATAGGAAATACTGCAGACGATAACCCGTTCCACAGATTGGTTCTGCGTGGCAAAAACTGTCTCGAAAAGCGCACAGTAGTGGAGCGCCAACTATCCAGGTGACGAAGATGAAAGCTTTGCCGTGTGGAACGATGACGGAAATTTGCGGCTGGTATTAGTCCGAACAATTCCTCTTAGCACTCTGCATTCTCTATCGCATCTCTAACGAAGCCACATCTCTACGTAACGCCAATGGATCGAGCCGATCGGAGATGTTTGGGCTATCGACGATTCGAGTCGCTCTTCGTTGGATGCGGTCCAGAGGGAGAAGCTGCTAGTGAGGTGCCCCTGCAGAAGAGATGAGATGAGAACAGTATTGACGGGCCTGTTGGTCTAGTGGTTACTGACCCTGACTGCTAAGCCGGACGTCGTGGGTTCGATTCCTACCCACAACAAATATTGTGTGATGAGCACGGTCATTTGTTCTGTGTCTGGGTGTGTAATTTATCTATAATATGTATGTATTTAAAAATATATAAGTATGTTTATCAGCAGTCTGGTTACCATAGTACAGGCTCTGCCTAGTTTCTGATCAGACGGCAGAGTGTGAGATATGTGAGGATATTCCATATGCGGCCGGGCTTGCGCCTCATAGAACTGAAGGCGGTGGGCCATAGTGAAATACTGCCTCGATCTGTTCAGCACACATTTGACCTTACCCTCTAAGTGACCCTGAAACTGGACTTCGCTCCATATGTCGATGCCTAGGATTCCGATGCTGGCTGAGGCAGTAAGGGAGGTGCTCTCAAACTGAGGTGATATGGCAAATGGTATCTTTTTTGCGCTGAACCCACAGACCTGTGTCTTTTTTGGGTTGAACTGGATTAGATTTAGTCGGCCCCAATCTGAAACCTCCGCTAAGGAAGTTTCCATCCGAAAGTCCGAAAGTTTTTTTCGACTCTGATGACGTTTTCCCGAGAAATATTGGGGTGGCCGGTATAAAGGGCATCTCCTCAGCTATCATCTGTATAGCAATGAATGCTACTAGTTTGCAACGTCTCATTGATATGCAGAAGAAACAGTGTGGGTGATAGCATACAGCCTTGTGGAACACCAGCATTTACGAATTTCAAGTCGGAGCATGCACCGTCGACAACGATCTTAATGCTTCTGTCCGCAAGGAAGCTGGTGACCCAATTACACAATTTCTTGGGAAGCCCAAAGGAAGGGAACTTCGAGAGACCTTATGCCAGACCCGATCAAAGGCCATAGACATAGCGAATATGTCTAAACTAACCGCATTGGCCTCTCCTTTCTTTTTTTAACACCGGTTTTCTTTGAGGCCCGTCATCACTTCGATCGAGCCCGCCTATGTGTGTAGATGCACGGATCTCCTGCTTCCAATGTTTACCTGATCTGACTGATCTCATTCTGTTCTCATTTCATAACAAAAATGGGTTCTTTAGTGATTGGAGTTTAATTCCATTTTTTTACGTAATATAAGATTATGATCATGATATGGCATCAGATTTTATATGTCATAAAATTTAATGAATATTAATAGTAAATGTTGTACAATTTTGTACTTTCGTTTATTTATTACAGATGATAGCCAACTGACTGTACAAGGTCTAGTTCGCGATAATATTTTATCTGAATACCATGCATATGAAAATCATCAAGGGATTTCCTATATTCATTATACTTACCAAGGTGAAAATTCGGGCTTATTGGCGCTGAACTGTGTCATTAACTTTGGAGACTCAGGTAAGTATATAATAAGCAGATATCATCTAACCGTCAAATGTCTTTTTTTTTCAATTTTTTTATGGTATAAGCGAGCAAACGAACAGACTGGTCACCTGATATTAATGACACCGCCCTTTGAATCCCCTCCCTAGAATCAGGAGAATTGGAAATATCGGTTCTTGTAACCTCACTCATTCATTGAAAAGTAATGAAGGGATTGCTTAAAACCCTTTCTATTCCTTTCGTTTTCTATGAGTTCAAGGTATCAATCCTGTCATGCAGGCCCATTGCTTATGGCTCTCCCACTATAAATTTTATTGATCAGTAAAATTTGAACTGTCAATGTATAGACTTTTGAATCATGAGAGGTTAAAATATATACCCATTTAGTTCTACGTAGCTGTTCTAACATAATTTTTAACTTATATCACATATTGTTTTAAAGTTTAGCTTTTTTCACCTCTAGGTATAAACATTAAATATTAAGTAACTGAGCCTAATTTTTCAGTTCCAGATAAAACCAGTGATTACACTAAACCACCACTAAGTATAGAACACAACAATAAGAATATGCAGTGTCTTTTACATGATTCAGTAACATGGAATAAAATAATTACAAAAATTTGGATTACATTCCGCCTCAAGGGCCAGCCCGCGATGCCACTAACAACTGAAGTAAATAATGTACCCAAAGAATCATCTACTGAAGAACCCCATAGTACTGAAATTCCCATTGGTAAGTCTTACGAGTATATTATTTATCGTCTTAACTGTCCCATTACACGTCTGAAAATGATTAATTTGTCAAAGCCTGTTTGACTCCAATCTTTGGCCTCAAACAGACAGCTGGCTTTGCAATGTTAAAGACTACGTTGGCTAGGTATAGTAATACATGTATTGTGTATTTTATTTCTTATGTTACCTTTCAGTTGACCATGGCGTTCATAATGATGAAGAAAATTACAATAACGGCGAAGATAACAAAGAAAAATATGAAAACTATCAATACAAACTGTGGATTCCCGCAGTGGCGGTTCTGATGTTAATCGTTGTTCTCTGTGTCCTTATAGTTAAGTCTAAGACAAAGAAACGAAATAGTCGAAACCGAGTGAGTATATAATAGAATAGAATAGAATAGAATAGAATAGAATAGAATAGAATAGAATAGAATAGAATAGAATAGAATAGAATAGAATAGAATAGAATAGAATAGAATAGAATAGAATAGAATAGAATAGAATAGAATAGAATAGAATAGAATAGAATAGAATAGAATAGAATAGAATAGAATAGAATAGAATAGAATAGAATAGAATAGAATAGAATAGAATAGAATAGAATAGAATAGAATAGAATAGAATAGAATAGAATAGAATAGAATAGAATAGAATAGAATAGAATAGAATAGAATAGAATAGAATAGAATAGAATAGAATAGAATAGAATAGAATAGAATAGAATAGAATAGAATAGAATAGAATAGAATAGAATAGAATAGAATAGAATAGAATAGAATAGAATAGAATAGAATAGAATAGAATAGAATAGAATAGAATAGAATAGAATAGAATAGAATAGAATAGAATAGAATAGAATAGAATAGAATAGAATAGAATAGAATAGAATAGAATAGAATAGAATAGAATAGAATAGAATAGAATAGAATAGAATAGAATAGAATAGAATAGAATAGAATAGAATAGAATAGAATAGAATAGAATAGAATAGAATAGAATAGAATAGAATAGAATAGAATAGAATAGAATAGAATAGAATAGAATAGAATAGAATAGAATAGAATAGAATAGAATAGAATAGAATAGAATAGAATAGAATAGAATAGAATAGAATAGAATAGAATAGAATAGAATAGAATAGAATAGAATAGAATAGAATAGAATAGAATAGAATAGAATAGAATAGAATAGAATAGAATAGAATAGAATAGAATAGAATAGAATAGAATAGAATAGAATAGAATAGAATAGAATAGAATAGAGTAAGGTAGAGTAGAGTAGAGTAGAGTAGAGTAGAGTAGAGTAGAGTAGAATAGAATAGAATAGTCCTAAGTAGAATAGAATACCGAAAGTCGTAAATGCGATGTGTTTGTTTACCGATTTTTATACGTTCAAAGAATCAAATGCTCGATGGGTTCTCGGTCCGAAAAACGCCATTTCGATTTTTAATTCTTCGAATAAACTGCTAAAATTAGGATTCTGATTCAGTTACGCATATATATTCAAAAGCTATAAATAACGTTTAATGTAATCTAAATACGTCCACTTTGTTATGAATATTTCTCTATTAAAATTATATTTATGTTTTCCTCTTCTCCTTATATACCAGTCTGTGATTGATGGGCCTGTTGGTCTAGTGATTAGTAACCTTGACTGCTAAACCGGAGGTCGTGAGTTCGATTCCCATCCAGGATAAATATTGTGTGATGAGCACGGTCATTTGTTCTGTGTCTGGGTGTAATTTATCTAAACTATGTATCTATTTAAAAATATATAAGTATGTTTATCAGCAGTCTGGTTACCATAGCACAGGCTCTGCCTAGTTTGGGATCAGACGGCCGTGTGTGAGATGTGTGAGATATATTATTATTATAACCTGTGTCGGGTACCATCTACTAACTGTTATTGAATTCTTTGGGTTAGGTTAGAACTGTGGCCGGTGAGAGTCAGATCTCCTCTATTGTTGGTGAATCATTTAGGTAAAGTTAGGTTATAGCTGTGATCAGCGAAAGAAAATATTTTTATTCGAAAGAAAATAAAAAGAATTCGAGTTTTTGATGTTTCGAATTATCATTAACTCTGACTTTTTGTTAATCGTTATTTTTAGCATAGTAATTATAAAGGTCCCCCTTAATAGCAGAACTTTTTATGTCATAATATTATTTTGCATAACGGATAGCATAAACTACATTTCTCAGAAAATCGTTTGACAGACACTCAGTATCATACATTCAAAACTCATAATTCTGTAAGTCATAATCATCTTAAAGCATAACTTCATATCCATAATAATTAATAAGTGACCATTATTTCGCCGAAAGTTTATATTCAGAATCGTCCTTGAGCATACATTTCATATCGATAGTCATTATAAAACCCTTTTAAAAAAAAAGTTGAACCGACTTCAAACAACACCGACAAAGAGCACTAAAAATTAAAAAATAATTACAAATCTAAGTAAAAAACTATAAAAAGTACCCTCGATGTAACAGGTAACATTATAATACCAATAGTCCCTTCTAGTCTGTAAATACTGTAAGTAAATACTGCAAGTTCTCTGCGCATCACATCGCGCAGTCTCTGACGGTTGCCATGGTTTGTTTGGCTAAAGAAATACTCGTAGCTAAAACACGTTGTCGGGGCTGTCAAATTCCCAATAATTGTGAGGGTTTCCCTCGATTTCTCTAGGATCCCATCATCAGATCCTGAATTGGTGGTAATGGGACCAATTCGGGAGCATACCCTTTCGATTACAAAAAGAATTTTGAAAATCAGTCCACAATTGACGGAGAAATCGCGGAACAAACATACATAAAAAAATAAAAAAAATACAGACGAATTGAGAACCTCCTCTTTTGTGTTTTGGAAGTCGGTTAAAAAGGCAGAACTATCGATAACTCAGAAAGTTTACAGTGAGAATCATCTTTTGGCATATATTTCATATCTATAACAATTGAAAGACTATCTATCCATCATTGTGTATTTCTTACCATAACATTAAAATTCATTGATTGAACACACATATTTTTTCGCGACGGATTTGGTTTTTATTTCCCTATAAGAAGCGTGCAAACAAGCATACACCATTCATGCAGGCAAGCACGCAGCATACAAGCAGGGATGCAGGCAAGCATGCAGCTTATCTGTCACGGCTCCGGCGCTGCGGAGCTCGGGCGGTCCCACGCGAGCTTATCGTCGCAGATGAATTTAACGTTCACCACCGCAGCTTGTACCGCTTGCACCAGCTGCGGCAAGCGTTGAAACCACCTCCTCCTCAGCTCGCGGGCCGCCTCGCCTACGCGGCCTTAAATTACAATCTAGGGGTAGGGCAGACAAGACTACGTGGAGTCGGTGTTGCGATTCGTTTCTGTCACAAACTTTTATAGCAGGACATGACTTTTTAACATATATAATAATTTAATTTAAGGTTAAAAATGCTATTTTATGGCAATATTCCTAAAAGTATGCAAAGTGAAATTGTACCAAATAATCGTCGTTCTAAATAAACGTTGTGCTAAACGAAATTATGCCGAACATTAATTATACTCAATATTTTTTATGCCTTATACATATTCGTTTAAAGAAGTTTCTGCGAAGTGTGTTTTGAGAAATAAATTTCGGAGCATCAAGATTCTGCCAGATAGAGGGAACCCTAATTATTAACGTTAGGAATATTGAAAATGTTGAATCATAAAAATAGGTTAAATGTTCAAGCGAAAACTTTTGTTGCTAGCGATTATGGTGTGTATAGACATTGTATAAACTTTTGAATCGTGAGAGGTCAAAATATATACCCATTTAGTTCTACGTAGCTGTTCTAACATAATTTTTAACTTATATCACATATTGTTTTAAAGTTTAGCTTTTTTTACTTCCACGTATAAACGTTAAATAATAAGTAACTGAGCCTAATTTTTCAGTTCTAGATAAAACCAGTGATTACACTGAACAATCACTAAGTATAGAACACAACAATAAGGATAAGCTGTGTCTTCTACGTGATTCAGTAAACGAGATAAAATGATTACACAAATTTGAATTTTAATTTTTGATGTTTCGAATTATCATTAACTCGTACTTTTTGTTCTTCGATCTATTGAAAATCGGTATTTTGAGCATAGCAATTATAAACGTTAGGAACATTGAAAATGTTGAATCCTAAAAATGGGATAAATGATCAATCGGAACCTTTTGTTGCTACCAATTATGGTGCGTATACCAGTGGCAAGAGATCCTCTCCGATTATTGCAGCCTAGCGTACATCGCAAATCTTTAACGAACCAAAGTTTAAAGATGTCAATAAAAAATCAAAAGTTATTTCTTGTCAATAATTTAATTTTTATATATATTTCAGAGAGAACCTGAACATACCTATGATTATTGTATGGTAAACGATATAACTCCACATTACCCTGCACAAAGCGAAATCGAATATGCCGTTCCAGAAGGCGAGATGCAAGAAAATACTCTCTACCAACGTTCAAAAGATTTCTACGCAAAAGTTATACCAAAAAGTCTAAGGCAACGTAATAAGCAACAAAGCATCGATGCAGCAACAAATAGATCAAAAGAATTTGTAGAAGATGCAGGGCCTGATTTCTTAGTAATGAACAGTCTTTATTCCAGCGCATGCTTAGAACCTGATGATCGGTCAGGCCCTACAAAATCAGTTAGTGATGACCAAGGAACTTCTATGAAAGCTTCGAATAATCTAGAAATGCTTAGTGATGTTTACAGTGAACCAATAAATAAAAAAGAAACAAAAGAAGACACATACACTAATGTGACTGGTGAACCTCATTATTCCAATAAGATGGGGGGTTATTGCGTTTACCCCACTTACAGTGAACCTCATATCAAGAAATAAAATAGAATGAATGTACAAATTCTTTTAAAAAGAGATTTTGATCCTTTTAAACTAGCTATTTATACATAGATTATGATAGTACTGTATAATATGCCCGATAAGATAACTATAAATTTTTGAGGAAATTGACGCAAAACCTCGACCATTTAACTCTTAGCTTTACTCAAAACTATGTAAATAAATCTTGGAAGTCAATAAACCCCTTCTATAAGTAGGTGTTCGTATCGAAATGAAACTGTATATATATGTATAGTTTGGATGACAATACTATAATTGAGCATCATAAGTTATCCCCAGGAGCCGAGAGGTGGAAACAGGACTTTTCAGTGGCTACTAGAAAAAAACATCAGTTTGGACTCATATGATATTGACTAGTCAAACAGATTGGATTTTTTATGTTACTAAACTAAACTAAACTGTTAGTTGATGGTAAGTGACCCGGCCGCCCATAGACACCAGCTTGATCACTATTCTGTAAATCAATTAACGGGTATAGTGATAATAAATCGATCTTCATTGTGACTCTGAGTCAAAAGTTAAATCAATACTGTTGAACTTACCTGATTTTAGTTTTAGTTACATTATATCAACTTATTAAAAGTATTTTTTATAATATTTAAAATGCGGTGTTTACTTTTAAGTAATTGTATCATTAAGTTTCGTATTTTCGCATGTAAATTGGGATAAGTTTAAATGTTAAAAATTATTGTTGGTAATTAAATAAATAATTTCAAGAGACACAAGGTCGGGGCCGTTGGCTTATTTTAGGATCCAATAAATTCACTCACTTGGTGAAAATCAACAAAAAATGGCTTTACTATGGTTTTCTGTGAGACCGTGGTATAACTTCAGTCCTGAAGCATGGCTCTCCCATGACAAAGCTTTTTTTACTCCTCAATTGGGTTTGTTATTAGTCATCTGCCATTTTTTTTTAGGTTTTTTATGCTATAACTATTCTCTCTCAGTAATGTTTCGATGCCTAGACTGCCAGGTCACATACTGTCCCTTGTGCCTCCTGTACAATTATTTGTAACTTTAATTTTTTTGTTTATTTTGTAATGAGCTCAGCATCAATATAGAGTTGTTTAATTTGTTGTATTTCGCATTTTCATTGCATTGGCGAAACCGAAATTTTCAGCTTATTTCATATTTATAAAATTTCAAAGTATGTAATAGCTGCCTACAATTTAAAAACGAAAATTCATGTTTTTTTTTCAATGATTTATATAAATTCTAGTGTTATCAATAACGTATTCGTTAAAATTATTTACACTTTAGAAAAAAAAGGAGTATTTTTACCAAAGTTTTATTTTGACAATGCTTTTAAACCCAGTACTGATAATTTCAAAAGACTTTTGGTAGTATACTAGAAATAAGCACGTCGTATATGCAATCCAGCTCAGGAGGAGATCCAGGGATCTTTGACTGCCCAGAATTTGGAGCTCATGCCTCATAGACGACGAGGAAGTCATGATCGACGAAGCTGAACAGCGCCTTGGCTTAAAGAGAGAGAGCTAGTAAAGAAGGAAGAGTCACACTTCCTCTTAAAAATATGAACACAAGAGATAATTTCTAGAAATTCGCAGAAGTTATAAGCCAAATTGTAATTCAGGGAAACAAATAAAAATTAAGAGTAATAAAGTTCCCAAGCACAAAACAACGAAGCCAAAAAAAGACTTGTATCAAAGATGGCTATCGTAGTATAATAGGCCAAAACCTCCTTTCTAAGCCTATGTCCAGCAGTGGATTATTAACGGCTGTTGATGATGATGATGGATATATAATCTTTCCGTCACGAATGGTTCTCATGGCGCTTTTGTACTTGATTTTTTTTGCTTTGTTTGTATAATTGTACTTAGTTGCAAACAGAGAATTGAATCTCCCCTGAATATTTACGCAAATTTATTCGTTCCCATTGAGAATTTCTTTAATTTGTGACCTGAGTCTATGCATATATATATATATATATATATATATATATATATATATATATATATATATATATATATATATATATTATTACTAGACGTCGCCTAAGGATCGGAATTCGCCAAAAATTAATAAACTCGATGACTTGGAATGTCTTCATTTTAAGGTTCAAAATACAAATTTTCTCAGGTGTGCGTGCATCGCACATCTGTCCGCTTTGAGCGCTGATGAACTTCTATTTTACAACCCTACTTGGGGTCTCAATATGTTAACAATGGTCACTCATTCATAATCTGACCTGGCTAGGATTGCTTAACTTTTAACATCATCATCCGCCTATCGCAGTCCAGTGCTGGACAAATTTTCTGCTTCTCGCATCCAGATCCTGCCAGCCAACCTTTACAGGTAGTCGTGCCTAGATACGTTTGCCTAGACGTGGCCGTTGTCGGTTCTGCGGCTAATAAGGACAGCCTACTGCTACTTCAGCTTGCTAATCCGGTGGGCTATGTCGATGAATTTGGATCTCTGTCGGATCACCACATTCCTGATGCGATCCCTTAAAGAAACATCCATAGCACGTTGGGCGACTTTAAGCTTGCGGACCAGGACAAAATAATCACCCATCCATAGACAGACCTGGCTAGGATTGCTTAACTTTGCGATGTGTTAACCTACTCGGTTACCACTGAGCCACGAGCCCACTAAGATAATTAACTATTTGGTACCGGATAATACACTTTTAAAAAACTATCACCGACTTCAATATGCTCAATTGATCAGTTGTAAAACTGTTTTCTTTCTAAACATGTTTAAGAATTTTCTATAAATTGCCATAAAAGAAGGAGCTTTTAAGAAACAAACATTAAAATAAAATGCAACCGAACGAGAATCTCAACTTTTTTTAATTCAGTAAAAAATGGCCCTGGACTATTTTGTCTTGATTATAAATGTAAGCACTTTGTCTTTTTTGTTGCTTGGATTTTTAAATTATGAGTTTAATTTTAAAATTCCAAACTTGTCATTTATAAAGAAAACCGAAGTAAACAGATTTAAAGAACTCAACTTTACCTATCAAATGACAAAACCAAAGCCCCCAAAACCACACTTTATCGAAGATTACTTAAATGTAATATTTTTTTATCTCTTTCGTATTAAATTTCCGAACTGTCACTAAAGGAGACTTTAAAATGATATTTCTTTCAGATGAGTTTCCAATTTACTAAGATTGCGTATTTGGTAATTTAACGAGATTTCTTAACGAATTACTCTAAGATGGCTTGACCTGTTATAAGTTTTTTTTCTTTTGCGGCTCTATTGTCAGGTTCCTAAGGATTCTAATTGTGAGGTTAGGATAGCATTTCATGAAGGATCTTTTTTGGAGGTAATTTTATGTAAGTAGTGAGTTAACTTTAAACTATTTTTGCCTTAAACTGTATACCAAGAAAAATTGTTATACGAAATGGACTATTCCATTAGAAAAATCAATGTGAACATCTTTGTTTTTAGTGAAACTATTTTTTGTGTTGTAAACTCAGAAATTTCATGAACTCAGATTCCAAACTAGGTACAGTCTGTACAATGGTAAGCAGACTGCTGATAAACATACATAACTCTAAATACATATAGATAAATACACAGAACAAATGATCGTGCTCATCATGTCATTATTTGTCCTAGGTGAGAATCAAAACCGCAACCTCTGGCTAAGCAGTTAGGATCAACACATTAAATCAACACTAACAATAGAAAACACAGTCACACAGGTCTTTTGACAAGAATAGATGCAAGAAAGCGAACCTAAAGGCTTGAAAAAAAAAAAAGGATGGCTCGCTTCAGCACAGCTATAAAAATTCTTACGATTCTGTGTATTGAAAATTGAAATAACTAAGAAACACAAAGGAATATTGAATATTTAAAAATAAACTATTTTATTACTTTTCGTATTCCAGAAATCAACGCGGTCATTAATATAATACTTACTGTGGAACTATCTGACGTTGTTAAGAGCTGAGTCAACCAGCGACCGACCTATTAGGTGATCGCGCTAATTCCCGTGTACATACATAATTTTATAAATATCTTATCACTGCTTATCAAAACAGAGTTGAAATTATCATGTTTGTTTCAAAACATAATCATTACCTCAGCACTCAAAGCACTACCAAAACCATACCAATAAAGATTACCATCTGTTTAATCTCAAGAAGATAAATAAAAAATAGAAATGAGTTTTCAATTGAATAATCCAATTACTTCATTCGCAGCAACCGATACAGCTTTCCAAACATCATCGACAATAACACTGATATCTGATTCAGGTATAAGAACAGAACTACCTCTCTGTACGATATCGATATTAAAAGTATAGAAGATATTACTCTTTCTAGCATGATCGTTACTCGTACCTGATGCTCTATCAAAAATTGTTGAAGCAACATCCAACCTATAAGTCTCATTCGTCGACGCAATCATGTCGAATCCGAGAAGATGATGCTGTCTAAACAACCCACTTGCAGCTCTTTCAAAACTCCAAGGGTATGAAATGAACCCTCCATTATTCTGTAAGGATATGTACAATTTGATTTTTGAGCCATTTTCCTGGATTATACTCTGAATCATTCTTGTTTCAACTTCTGAGAATGGCTCGATGCCTGCGTACACATGGCTGCAAGGGCTGGAACTAGCATCAAAATTTTGCCAGTCCACATCAAAGTTACGGTTAATATTGACACCGGGACAGATGTGGCCTAGATTACTGTTTGTGCTTCTTGATTTCTGCCATAAACGAAGCTGAAATAAAAATTAACACTGAATGAATATTATTTTTATAATTATTTACTTGATTGTATGACGTCATAATTTTAAATAATGAAGTATTGAAATAATTTATTCTGATATTAATATCTTTATTTATTTCTCTCTGTAAAATGAAATTAATACACTTATGTAATTAATTATTGTTGTTGTCTAAGGAACCAGTTTTCTGTAATAAATTATTATTGTTATAATAAAACAAACGCTAAGTGGTAACTGAGTAGGTGAACAAATTGCAAGGTTAAGCAATCCTAGCCAGGTTAGTCTAAAGATGGGTGACCATTCTTAACCCATTGAGACCCGGTTACCTAACGAACATCTCTGGCAATACGCCAAAATCTCCTTTCTAAGGCGAACGTCCAGCAGTGGACCGATGTGATGTGTAATACATCTAGGCAGCAGTCCGTAAAAGCAATATCCCGTACAATGGTAGTTTTTCCATCTTTACCAATTTTCCTTTCATATTAAACTGACAATTTTAACATCTCATTCCTAAAATGCCTATTTGACGACAATAGACTTGCCGCTTATTAGGTGAGTAATTTTACAAATATAGTTATTTAATACGTGTCTGCCAACCCCTGGCATGGCGATGAAGACGCGAATGTCACTAATATTACTTACATTAGTGTGAGTATATTCGTATCCATCTGGATTTACCACCGGTAATACGATCCAGTCAGCGCCAATCAAAAATCTTTCCTCTTCCAAAATACCTTCGACGACATTTAGCACAGCTGGTATAGTTATCCATTCCCTAGGGTTGATCGCAGCTTCCACTACTATGATCGGCTTTTCTGTATTTACACTTTCTGCTGAACTGTTATTGTTTATTTTCAAATAAACCAGTGGTCTGTTTTCATGAGTTACTCCAAACTGTACTAATTCTATGCTAGAATTGGTAGTGTTATATTGTTCAGGAAGTTGTCGAAGGTAATTTAAAATCTGGAAATTAAAAAGGAACCTGCATCTCTCGTATTACAACCAATTGGATCTTCATTGGATATGAGCAATGCCTCGGCACATATGTATAGGCTAACTCAACAGGAGTGGTTCTCAGAGGGGTGGGGGGAGGCGTTGAGTTGCAGGTGTCCACGGGTGGCTTATTTATACATTTATTTATCATGTACATAAATCTTAAAAAAAACTGTTACACGGATGACATAATGGTTTCAGCAGTTACCTCGCCGCTTCCCAATTTTGTTATCCACAAATTGTTGTTCTGAGTCTGTGTGTTCATGGATGTTTATAAAGTCTCACGCAACACATTTTTTTATGGAGGAGGAGGCAAACTAGCAGACGGGTCACCTGATGGAAAGTGACTACCGCCGCCTATGAACGCCTGCAACTCAGGAGTCATAAACGCGTTGCCGGCCCTTTAAGAAGGAGTCTATAAACATGATGAATTTCTAGGGCGGAGTTTTCTTTTTAAAAAGATTTTTTGCAAGGTTTACTTTCAGACCATACCCATTTTTTTATATTTCATTCTAATATATCGCAATAAGTAATATATTATGTCGTAAATATCGAATGTACTTACGTTATCATATCTGTGATAGCGTCTTATGTCAAAAGCTTCATTTTGTCCATCAGCATTTCTTTCATCTGCCGCTATATCTTCTGAATTTTCTAGTAAATACCTGAAAGGCACATATGTAGCACATAAATACTTTAAATAATACTCCCTCCCATGGAGGGTATTTATTCACATAGACAATTTTAATGTACTGTTAGTTTGGCACATAGTTCGATCGAGCAAGTATTGATAAATATAGCAGTATTAACATCCATGCTTCGTCACAAATTGGCCTGATTTCCCGAAGTAATACCACGACCTCACAGAAAACCGGTGTTGAGCAATCCTTTCGTTGCTATTTACCGAGGTGACCGGTACCGGAGGTGGTAAAGTTTACCAGAGCCAGAACCAACCTCTTCCCCGTACACCACTAGTTCTTGGGGAGGACTCAAATGTCGGCAACGGCAGTAGTCACCATCAGTTGGCCCGCCTGCTCGTTTGCTGTTTATAGAATTAAACAAAAAAATATTACAATTTGAAAAACGATATTCTCCAGTCAGACTTTCTACGAGGGCATCGTAAGTGCTTTTGTCTTGGTTCTCATTAATAAGGAAATGAAATCAGTTAAACCTATTTGTAAAGTTACTAAACTATGAAACAAATTACACAACAGCAGTTGATACAACCCCATTGCATATAGTTCTTACAAAGCCAACAAAATAGTAAAAAAGTAACCTATTGATATATTTTGCAATCATTTAAAAAAAAAATATTATAGTCATTCATATACTATATTTAATTTTTCGGTTTTTATCGAGTTTTCTAAATGACACTTAAATTAATTTTGTACGAGGGTTCACTCGTAACACACTCGTTATTATCGAACCCTCGTACAAAATCAATTTAACATCGTCACTAAAAAATTTCACCAGGACCTATTAGATTTACTTACTTATTAGGTAATATTTCATAATGAGGCTTATTGCAAAGACACCGTGTGTATTATAAATATATTTGAACTGAGGAAGCAATGAAAAAATCAACATACTGATAAACATCTTCACTGAAAACATCGATAGGAATTCCCAATTTAGTCAGATTCTCTTCAAATGACTTGAAATCAGAAGGTGGTAATATTGCCAGGCCATCTACGTCATACTGGAAGCTTGGTTTCCTCAAATAATCCAATTGAAGTGCTGATAAATGGTCTTGTTGGAGCTTACTTGACAAGGCTATATTGTAGACTCTATACCTGGTAACAAATAAAGTATATTTTGAAATTAGTATTACTAGTACATCAGTCTGTCAATAGGTCACCAGTTTGCTACGAATCAATAGCCCTCGCGCTTTCAAAACACTACCAACATTGACTGCACGGATGGCGTTGTGGTTTAAGCGGTCGCGCCGCGTCCTACTGCGATGAGTGTTGTGGGTTCAATCCTCGCATGGGCCAATACTTTGCGTGATCCACAAATAGTTGTTCTGAGTCTGGGTGCCCTTTGTGTCCGTTTCATGTATGTTTGGAAAGTCCTCTGTACACAGGATATATTCCAAGTGCGAGAGTTGTCTTTTTAAGAATAAAGAACAAAAAACAAAGCCGTCATGCCATGTTATTAATTGCTAGTTTAAGCTCGTTGAACAAAAATCCTAATTATAAAATGAGATTTAAAACTTGAGAAGTGGAGCCGGTCTGGGAGTTATGAAGATTTTGCAACTAAAGTCATGCGTAACGAATAAACAAGACAAATATAAATGTGAAAAAAATACGTACAGACACTCAAGTCTTCACAGGGATGGACAGAGAAGTATTAGACGCCCATATTTAATAAATTGTTATTTTCGTGTGTTTATTGTCGTGTTCGCTGAGTGAGTGTTTGGCACACACAGGCCATGTTTTGTCAATTGTGTTTATAGTAAGTTGTAGTTAAGTATGTAAGTTAGAGTAAGCTACCGTGGTGAACAACATTCTATTAGGTTTAGCCTAAAGTATGATTGTAAGTAATTCCTGAAAATATAAAAATAATTTTAGTAGCACTAACTTAATAGTGCAAAATTTATTTATTTATTTATACTTCTTGCAAATACATTGCATAAGGCGGACTTAATGCCCTTTTTCCAGTCAACCTTTGGGTGATGCAGAGATGTGTATGTGACAGGTGTATAATTAAATCTAGTGTCGTTTACTGAGTACATATATTTCTAAATCAATATACCTTTAAACCTATACTAATATTACAAATAGGAAAATGTGTCTGTCTGTTCGTTTGGTTAAATAAATAAATTTAGTATAAAGACAGTTTGATTCTTGAGGAACGAAATAGGCCACATTTTACAGCGATAATCGACATCCACGCCGGGCCGGTGGAGCCGCGAGCAAACGCTAGTTATAGATAACACCCAGTCATAGAACAAATGACGGTACTTACCACACAATAATAAATAGTGACAATAATACGTGTTTAAAACCGTGTAAAGTTAAAAGCATTTGTAGAGAACTTATGTGCCTATTAATTTCTAAATTGTTCACTAGTTACACTAAAAGTACAAAATTGACACTCACTCGCGCCCTTTTCAGACAGTTCATTAATTTTCACGACTTGGAAGATAAGCCCTAATATACTCTATTCCTCCTCATTGCCGAACCCGACGAAAGTAATGAAAAGAAAATATTCATTCAAGTAATTTCAAAATACTTGGTTTTACTTACATTCATTTCTTTAGATACAAGATTAATGAGATTAGAGTTTGAATTTACATTTATTCTTTAAAGCTAGATTTAATTCAAATCAAATTAAACATAATTTTGAATAAGAAAAATAATTTTCGAAGTCGAGGTTAATATTTTCTAACATCTAACACACAACGCCATCTAGTTTCAAACTAAACAGAGCTTGTACTATGTAAGCTAGTTTCACTGACATAGTGACTGACATAAGTACATAGTATACAAAGGAAAGATCCAAGCTACGAAACAATTTTTTGCAGATGAAACAAACATTTGGTCCGATCCGGGGATCAAACCCGAGACCTCAACACAGAAGTCGCATTCGCTACCACTGCACCACCGAAGCAGTTGAAGCAATACGATATATGTTTCTTACGTGGTATGTTTTCTTAAAGCTATAATCTAGTGGCCCAATTTTTTAATCTCGTGTACTCAACGCTTGCCAGACGGGTTGACATAGCTTTTTTGGCAAGGTTTCTTTCTCTTTACAGTGCTGGGGTTCCGCACAGTTTGCTCCCTTAGTCGGCTTTTACGACACCCACGGGATTAATAAGGCTGGTGACACTCTGTTTTCTTAATCCATCACCAACGGACTAGTCACCATCATTCACACACACACATAAAAAAATCTATGTCAGCCCAGAAAATCTCGATGCACAAATATATGAATCGTCAAATTAAAGTTTTGAGTCTCATACTGTGGTTATTGTTTAAAGATAGATTCTAGATAAAACCTGACAGATAGCACAGCAGTAGATAGCATTATCTAGTACTGGTGCTGTAAAATTAACTTATTGATTGGTTTTTCCCCCTGGACGGCATCTAACGGGGAGCGAATAGCCAGAATATCTCTGATCGGTTTATCCCCTTGGTGTTGCGTAGAGATGTAGCTTCAATCTGCATTCTCTTTCGTATGTATAATGGAGGGTGCTCCGAGGAATTGTTCAGACCAATACCCACCGCAACTCTCCGCCGTCGTTCCACACGGCAATATTTTCATCACTTGGATAATTGGCACTCCACCACTGAGCGCTTTTCAAGAGACTTTTTGCCTTGCACAACAAACTTGGTTGACAAAGTGTTGTTCGTAGAAACGAGTGTATTCAAGCCGGCAACGCATTTGTGGCTCCTGAATGGCTGGTGACCATTGGTGGCGGTGGTCACTTTCATTCAGGTGATCCATCAGATCCATCAACTGAAGCCAGAGGCTTAATAAATCATCATCATCATTATCAACAGCCTTTAATAGTCCACTGCTGGACATATATACATAGCCTCTCCTTGGAAAAGGGGTTTTGGCCTACTATACGACAGTTGCTATGCGGGTTGATATAGGGTTTGTTTCAAGTTGGGGTGCTAGGCTAGAAAACCTCCCCGTGGTGCACCCTGGAAACGCTGGCGATGGTACTGTTTCCTCCTTGTCCTCTTGGAGGAGAGGATTATCGCCAGCGGCCAATATTCTAGCAGAAGAGGAGGCCGTTCATCGGCTCTCGGGCAAGGCCTGGTCCAGCAGGGTGGGCGTGTCTGCCGGTTGCCCTGCTGGCTCTTCGCTCTTCGGAGCATGGAGGAGGAAACCTCGGTAAAAAACCTGATGGCGGGGCCCTGTAGGGGCCACAGTTTCTCTGCTGACAGCGGTGGAGAAAGGAGGACGGGCTCGGCGTGTACTCACACTACCACCGAGCAGGCAGGGGGACGTAGTCTCCCTGTCAACCGTCGGTATATCGTAATCCCGAGAAGAGCGCTGTGGTTAAGTCTCGCGGCTCTGATCGGGGGCGAGGGTCTTGGCTTAACCGCCCGGACCGCGAGGAAGATAACCTCTCTAAAAAATTCCCCGAATCCCGTGTTCTGGTGCGTGGCCAGGGGATGCATGGCTGATGGGAAGTTCAGTCTCGAGCGCACTCCAAGCCGAGGTACCTGCGGACCCCTCGGTTGGGTTAAAAACTTACGCTTGCCCGGGTAATGGGGGATCTCTGCCCGGGTGGACCTTTATTTCTCCCCCACTCGTGGGATCAATTATGCAATCTTTAAATAAAAATACCAAGAAACGATCGAAAACAAACACACAACAGACAAAGGCAAGCAAAATGGACACTGAAACAAAAGGTGCAAGGGAGAAGAGGAACAGTGGAGTCGATGGGTCGTCCACTGAGGGTGAGGTGGCGTCGGGAACGCCCATCTCGATGGGGCTCCCAGAAGTCAGTCTGACTCTGATCTCTGGGAGCCGAAGAGCATCGGATCGGCTGCGTTCTGGATCCGCCGCTTCGTCGGATGGCGCGGAGGCCATGGAGGCGGAACGAAGCGACAGCCGGAAACGCGGACGCTCCAGGGACGAGGAAACGGATACGTCCCAGGAGATGATGCCACCAAAGGTGGCAAGCAGCCGCCGAGGGAGGGCACGCAAACCGGCCTCGGCCCCGGTCTCAACCCCGTCAGGCTCCGCGTTCTCCAACGCGGAGTCGTACAGAAGTGTACGGGTGGACGGCGAGGCCGTAGCGGAGGAGGAGATCGCGTATCTCCTGCTCAAGGTTCGGGAGCCGGTGGGGGGAAATGCCCCCCAGGCTCCCGTGTCCGTGCAGGAGAGGGCGAAAGCAGCGGTGGCCGTCATTCACAAGGTGGCCACCAAGTCCGTAAACCTTAAGGGCTCGTTTGTGAGGGCCCTTAAGGACTCCTCCTCCGCTTTGTCGGAGGTCGTGGAGGGCCTGGTGGGCGACGTCTCGCGCCTACAAGTGGCCAACGAGAGGCTGACGGAGCGGGTGAACGAGCTGAGCGCTCAGTTCGCCCGCTTCCAGGCGAACCTCCCCGAGCGGGAAGCCCCGTCCGCGTCCCAGCCTGCCCCTACCACCAACTCAGGGGCATTTGACTCCCAACTGCGGGAAATCCTCATCGCAGTTGGGAATATGCTGGACGGACGCCTGGCTGGCCTGGAGGCGAGACTGCCCCCTGCGCCGATTGTGATCTGCGTCAGTACAGCGGCCTAAGGCCGCCGCTCCGACCGCGCTCCCCGTGGTGGGAGGCCGCGTTTCCTACGCGGCGGCGGCGGCGTCTGCCCCTACTCCATCGGCTCCCCAAAAGCCGAGGAGGGGGGCCAAGGCACCGGCCCTGGCGCCGGCCAAGGCACCGGCTAAGGCGCCGACCAAGGCACATCCCCAGGCGCCGGCCAAGACGGGGCCTAAAACAGCGCCGAGGAGCGGAGTGGCATTCCCTCCGCTCCCCACTCCGACACCCCTGCCGGGCCCCTCCGCACCTGCCCCCTCCAACGAGGGTTGGCAGGAGGCGAGGGGCTCCAAGAAGTCCCGAAGGCGGGCCAAAAGGGCTGCCCAAAAAGCAGCCCAAGCCCAGCCTTCGCCACCGGTGGCAACGGCCTCTGCAAAGAGGCCGCGGAAGCTGCAGCCGCCCAAAACCGCGGCTGTAGTTGTGACCGTGTCCCCGGAGGCGGCTGACGGCGGGCTGTCCTATGCGGCCGTCTTCAAAAAGGCCCGGGACAGCCTCGCCAACGAGTTTGGGACGGTGGGGGTCAGGATGCGCCT